GTGCTGAAGCCCTCGTGCAACGTGCCCCCCTGAGACCACAAGCCAGGGTTGCCCCTGGGAACAGTATCCCCAGCCATCGAGGTCGGCAGCGAATAGTCTTTCCTGCACTTTGACCTGTGATCCGATGCAGTGAACTTTGTGAGGCTATGTGGTTTCGATTCCAGGAGCCCCTGCGCTCCGTCCATGCAGGTTTTCTGAGTTCTCTCTTTTGAATAGACCAGTGCCTCCAGACCAGCATTTTTCTGAATTTCATTCTTATTTAGTGCTTTTATACATTTTCATTTCTCTTTGATTTGAGACTCAAAACGTAGAGACAGCCTTTGAGCTCATTCTCTTGGGCGTCTCCCACGTCTTCACGCCTGGGCTTGTTTCCCTCAGTCTGAGCACCATCCTCCCCTCCGCCAGCCTCTCAGCTCTCTTCCCCCCGAGCTCCACTTGGAGCTGTTGGCCCAGCAGAGGCCTGGGTGATGCTCCTCCCTGTTACCTGAGCTTTGCAGTTGCCCCAAGATGTGGTTTTCTTTGTTTTAAGCGACAGCTGTCTGTGTGCTGACACCTCCCACCTCACATGCTCCAGCTTTGTCGGGGGCCTGGCAGGGCGTCAGCTCCTCGTTGGGGCAGCACAAACAGTCTTGTCTCCTGATGCTTGCGGTGAGGAAGTATTTCACTTACCTGTGTTTGCAACACAGGAAGTCTTATTCATTTGATCTCTCAGTGCGGGAGAGGAGGGGCCCACGCAGCCTATTTCCCTGAAGCGCCTGGCGTCCCGAGGTTCCTGTCCGCACACTCAAGGGTGTGGTGTCAGTCGAACAGCCCTGGGCCCCCAGCTCCCACATGTGTCCAGGGCAGGTGGCTCATCCCCTCGAGAGCAGAACCCAAGGCGAATGCAGGCAGGGGGCACCGTGAGCTGTGACCGTGGGCACTTGTTTCTGTGAGAATTCCTGCGTGTGCTCGCGGGGAGCAGGGGTCTAATGAGGACGGGGCATCAGACCCACAGCAAGGCTGATGGAGGTCAGGCTGCTGTCTCGTGATTTGTGACACCACAGCAGACAGCAAGTACCGCCCCCATGGTTTTTGTGTCCACGTTTTCTGAAGGTTTCCCACTCAGTGCAAAATCAGCCCAAACTTGAGGACTCAGCTTCCCGCCGGATGTGACCCCGCCACTTGGCCACAAACCCAGACCAGGGCTGCTCCTGGCCTCTGCTTATGCTCTGCTCTGTGCCTGGAGGGTCTCCCCGTCCACACCTGGGTCTGATAAATCCTACCAGGGTTTCAAGGCCCAGATCAAGTGCCCCCAAAGTTGGGGGCTACAGTTGAACTTCAGAAGGATCCGTGGTACAGGAGCTGCTGGGAACTGAGTCAGAGGCAGGTGGTGAAGGAGTCAGAGTCACAGCAGATACGAAACTGCCAGGGTGGGGGAGTGGGGTCCAAGGAGGTGGATCATGAACTCTCTTTACATGGGGGAGCCTGTGTAATCAGACAAATGGACGCTGCAGAGAGAGAGCAAACCAGGTGGGAGACCAAGGGGTGTGTGTGCGGATCCAGCCCAGGGGTGAGTGGAGGGCATGGAACCCCGTCTAGCTGGGAGGAGGGAAGTGGACTTGAGAAGGATTTGTGGCCGGAGCTGGTGCAGAAGGCATGGTCCAGACAGTGCACTAAACTGTGCTTGTGCTGGGACCACAGGATTTCCTTCCTCTGCCTGCATGGGGGGTGTGGCGGGGGGGGGGGGGGGGGGGAAGCATACTGTGGAGCCCTTTGTCAACCCCCTGCCTTGAGGGGCGGCTGACTAGGTGAAGGTTCTGAGAAGCACCAGCAGAGGGCTCACCACCACTAATCCAGGTTACATTTTGGAAACTTCTACCTGCAGTGATGCTGGCGTCGATTTTAATACTCTCTGCACATGTACACAGGTCTGACTTGATAGTAAAAGCTCTAGGAAAAATTCTAGGAATTTTACAAACGGCCCTGGGAGGTAGGGATTTTCACGCCTGTTCACGGCTGTTGAGCAGCTGATGTTAGTGCCTTAGCGGCTGGCAGGTCCCTGTGTGTCGACAGCCTGCGTCATCCGCTGTCTGAAGCCAGAGCCCCAAGTCCTGGTAACTTCAAGGGGCCTGCAGACGTGCGTTGTGTTTGCCGAGAGCATTGCTGAATATGGGGTCTGTGTGCAGAGGGTCCCCGCAGCTGACAAGTACCCACAGGGAGAGGCCTGGGGTGGGCCCTGGCTTTGCAGGGATCCACAAATAAACAGTGCCCTTTGTCGTTCAGCCAGGAGAAGTGGACCTCGAGGACCAGGTGGACTCCGGGTCCCAGTGCATCCCCCAGACGGTGGGCAGGAGGCCCCTGCGGGACTTCGTGGGGCTAGAAGACTGTGACAAGCCCACGCGGGACGCCATGCTCAACTTCACCTTCTTCCTGGCTGTCGGGGACATGGACGAAGCCTTCCGGTCCATCAAGCTCATCAAGAGGTGAGGGTTCTGCTCGCGAGGTATGCCACACCCAACTCCCTGCGGCCCTCCTTCGGGTCTCTTCCCTCCCCGCGAGTCTCATCGTCGCTGACTCTTCTTGGCGTTCCTGGTGTCTCATGGGTTTTCACTCAAGGGGTTGCTGGTGCTGGTGGAAACCCGGTTGTATATGGGCACCTGTTTGGCCTCACAGTGCTCGGTGTCTCGTGGGCTGTGATTTAGTTGTTTTGATTTACTTTACAGTGGACACTTCCTAGTTGAAAGTTCTGCAGTTGCTAAATATTTATAACATCTGTCTGTCCAGGAATAATTGCACTAAACAGAAAAGTTTTTTTTGTTTTTTGTTTTTGGCTGCGTTGGGTCTTTGTTGCTGCGCATGGGCTTTCTCTAGTTGCGGTGAACGGGGGCTACTCTTCCTTGCGGTGCGTAGGCTTCTCATTGCAGTGGCTTCTCTTGTTGCGGAACACGGGCTCTAGGCGCCCAAGCTTCAGTAGTTGTGGCACACAGGCTCAGGAGTTGTGGCTCGCAGGCTCTAGAGTGCAGCCTCAGTAGTTGTGGCACGCGGAGCTTAGTTGCTCCGTGGCATGTGGGATCTTTCCAGACCAGGGCTTGAACTCGTGTACCCTGCATTGGCAGGCAGATTCTTAACCACTCTGCCACGAGGGAAGCCCTAAACAGTAAAGGTTTTGATAGTAAACTCTCAAAATGGCAGGCAAAATGCAATTAAAATTGCTCTAAGTTGTCAATCAAGGGCTACCTATAAGCAGCTTCCTCTCTGTGGCTGTGAGATTCAGAGCTTCTCAGGAGCATTTGACAGATTTTAATTGCCAAAGAGTAGAAAAACTATTGAAGGGTGAAATTCAAGTGGGAAGAGGAGGACGGGAGTTAGGGCACCCTAGCAACCCTTGTCTGCAGTGATGGGTCCGTAACCCAGAAGCACGTTCCGAGCAGCCTGAGACCTGGTCTTGGTCCACAGCAGAGGGGCTTTTCCCTGCTGCAGGTGGGCAAGAGGCTTTTGATCAGGGAAGTGAAGAGTGGCTGGAGGCACTTTCCGTTTCATAGGAACTCGATCACAGACCATAGGTAAGCACATGGCCCATGCAGTATATGTAGTCGTGTATGTAACACTGCTAAGACTGTACAGCTTGAGGTGCCCAGGGGAGGAAGGGCAGCCCTTTGGGTCCCCTAATGTGTCAACTGTACCTCTGCCCTGAGCTGCGCTTACATCCGTGGTCAGCCCAGACGTGCTTTAAGTCATTCTCCATTGCTTTATGTTTTTTTAAAGCAACAACCGGACCTACCTCTTGCTCTGACTAAAGACAAATTCCTGGGGCAGCGTGGCCTTAGAACTCCAGACTGGTCACCGCACATCGTCTGGGTAGCAAAGCTAAATGTTTCTTAGAGGGTTGGCCTAGTGTGGGGGCAGCAGCCAGACAGTGACCACCCCCACACCACGACCACGGACTTTGCAGTGCCCACCACTGTCCCTCGTTTCCTGGGCTGGAAGATGCGCTTTGTGGCACGGGAACAAGCAGCTGCGCTCTCGGGGGACTGTCCTTGCAGGTGTGGCCGGGCAACCCAGCCCGGTCCCAGGGGACGTGGGCTGGTTTTGAGCCCCTGAGGCAGCTCTTAGGTGCTTGTGTTCAGCCTGGGGCTTAGTCCCTGCTACGGAGTCAGGTCCAGGGCTGCTGGCACCAGGCTGGTGCTGGGAAGGTCTTCTGTAGCCCACCAAGTTTGGCTGGATGCATTGAAGACTCTTCTAGGGAAAAAAGTGAATCAATCTCTGAAATTTTTTAAGCCAATAGACTTTTTCCTTCATACTGTGCCAACTGTGGACCTGCCGTTGTTCGGCCAGTGCTTAGGGTCTGTAGAAACGGGGACTTCTGAACGGAAACATGAGTGAGCCATGAGTGGTCCCCAGCGCTCTGCCCCCTGGCCTGTAAAATGTGTCAACCCTTCTCTGACTGCTGACCCACAAAGCTACAGAAGAATAAGCTATGTTCCTTCACCACGTGGCAGTGTAATGGATAAAACACAAGTTTTAAACCGTGGTAAGAGGTTTGTGTTTTATTTTAACTTAGGAAGATAATCAGGAGTAAATGGACATCACTAACACAGTCCTGTTGTAAAGCCGTAACCATCTGACTGTAAATTCTGAGTCCCTGGAGGAAGATCACGGACAGTTCAGAACTATTCCCTGTGTTCTGCTTTATCAAAGTAAATATGACCCAGGACGCCCCTCTTGGCATATACAGAATAAATTACTCCCGGGCCAGGGCAGAGAGCGAGGCGGCTGCCATCCCGGACGTGCCTCTCCGGAGCTGGTCTCCAAGACAGGACGTGCGCGAGCGTGAAGTGGGCCGTGGCGGGGTTGGGGGGGGGGGGTTGGGACGCAGCCGGTATGTGGTCACGCCCTGTGTTCGTGTATAACGTAGTGAATGCGTGTCGTACATGTGCTCTCATGGGAAGCCGCGCAGGCAGCGCCCTGCTTCCCAGATGGTCCCTGCGGTGGATGGAGCCCCGAGCGGCCTCCCGCCGCCCTCAGCACGGCGACTCCACATAGTCGTTGTCCAGCCCGCGGCGGAAGCGTGCGGTCAGGGAGCGGCTGATGACGATGACGCGGGGGGCCATGCAATCCTCCCTCCTGTGCAGGACGTTCCAGATGAGCATGGCCGCAGCCAGGGTGGCCAGCAGGCAGGCCCCGATGTTCAGGTAGCAAGACCAGGACAGGTTGGTGTACGGGCCGATTCTGTAGAACGTCACCAGCCCGATGACCAGAACAAAACCTGCAGACGAAGGACAGGGTGAGATGGAGCAGGGGAGGCCGCGGGTCCAGCCATGGGGCCACTCCCGTTTCTCCTCCCACCCAACCCTGTCCTCCTGGGGCTGAGAGCCCAGCTCCACTCGGTGCTAGTGCCTTGGGGTCAAGCTGAATTTTATGGGACCTTTGGGTCTGGTGGCTGTTGCGGGGGCTGTCTGCTCAATCCTGACCCTGGATGGTCATAGGGGCTCACATGCTTCCTGTGACCTGGCAGGTGTCAGGCCACTTCCTTGGCTGCCCTCCCCATGGAGGTGACACTGACACCCACTTCCTCACCCCGAACAGTCCAGCGGTAACTCCGTGGAAGGTCCACTCTGGCTTATAAACGCCTAATTCATTCAAAGTGAAAGCAAACGCAGATATTTTCTAAGTCTTACCTTGAAACAACTCAGATTTGTATTTAACTTAGTTTGAATTCCTATTTTTAAGAGTTTTCTTATTCTTAGTGTTTGCTTCCGGAGGAAATATTTTCTTTCAAAACCTGAGACAGCGGAGGGCCTGCACATTTGGGGTGGGGGGAGTGGAGGGGGGAGCCGAACTGTGGCTGAATAGACTCGGCTGGTTCTAGAATGTCCCCCTCACCCACCCGGTCCCATGCGGGTCTCCCTCCGTCCCCTCCTCTCTCCAGGTGACACGGGGGGTCCAGCACTGTGCACAGCATCCTGTGTGGACTCAGTTAAGTCGACCATGTCCTCTCTCGGTCAGCTGTTAATACTGTCACATCATCACTTCCATAGTTGTATCTTTAAGGAGCTCCAAAGACTTGATTTTATTAGTTGTTACAATAGGAAAACCAGGATTTCGCACCCAAGATCTGTCAGCTAGGCTAACAGGGCACTGATGTTTGAAAGAGTTCAGGTCTGAATCTGGGCTGGAACCCCTGATGGCTGGTTCAGGGCAGAGGCCTCTCTTCCATTGCCCCATCCCACCCCGTCCTTCTGAGTCTTGTTGAAAGAAGGCACAACAAGCTGGCAAAAAATGCCCAAAGACATAGTGAAAACAAGGGAACACATAAAGTACTTTCATTTGCATTACACAAAACACAGGTCCTAACTCCTTCCCTCACTAACGCAAAACTCGGGTGGCACAAAATCGTGGGCAGAGGATGTACTCCTAGCTGGGAGAGCGGAATGCCAGAAGTTTCTTTTCGCCAGTGTGCATGACAAACAGAATTAGTTATTTTTAACAGAAAGGAAGTATCGAGAAGCTTTCCATGTATAAAAAGCTCCACAAAGTACCATAGAGAATTAGCACAGGGATTAGTCACCATCACCATTGTTTAGGACACGACCAGGGCAGTTAAATGTTTAATTCATACTTTCTGGAAGGCGCAGAAATGCTTCCAGAATGCTTGCGTTTCTAGAAAACTCCAGCCTGTGCCCCAGCACTAAGTCATGACACAGCTATTAGAATCGTCAGCGGGCATCACTGCTGCCCTTTGCTCTGGGGCCACGCCAGGTCATACATGATCTGGTTTCCTGAGGAAAGCCAGGAGGCCACAGGGAGTGGGGGACCAGCATGAACAGATGTGCAGATGTCACAGTGCAGGGCAGGTGGAGGGGCTGCAGCGGGCAGTTCAGCCTGGCCAGAGCCCAGGGCAGGAGACGAGACAAGTCCAGGAGGGGCTGGGAGTCCTGTCTGGACCACGCTGGGCCCTCGAGGGCCTCTGTCCTCCTCAGGCATGTTAGGTTCCAAGAAATTGACTCACCCTGGTCACCACAGCAGAGGGTGGGGCTCCCTGGGCCACCTAGCCAAGGGGTTTGATGATCTCAGGGAGTGGGGTCGGAGGAGCAACAGGCCACATGCACCAGCCTCCTGGCTTCAGCACAGACCTGCAGCGTCATCCATCAGAAGGGAACGGGCGAAGGAGCTGGACTTCTGCACAGCCTCCAGGGCCATCGGCTATCTGACATGGGGATGGTTTGCATCACTGAGAACAGAAGACGTTGAATTTACTGCAAGGCCGTCCAGTGGAGACTTGGGAATTGTGAGACCCCGACCTGGACAGGGCCTGACTGAGGAAAGCACGGGGCATGCCAGCAGGGCACACACATGGCCCTGGGACCCGCGACCCACTCCCAGGACTGCGCCCGAGTGAGACCCTGCTTGTCACAGGTCACAGGAAACATGACTGGGACCCCACATCAGAGCATCTGAAATGCGCATCCTCGGAGACGAGGTGCTGGGCCACGGGCCACGGGGGAGACACAGCTGCTCTGTGCTCGGTTCAGACAGGCCCGGCCAACGGGCGGCTATCACTGACCGGGGCCGGAGGCAGCGCACATGGGCTTCTCGGTGTCACTTGTGTGTCTCCTGAGTCCTTTGTACATAAAGTTCATAGTAAGGCAGTTAGAATATTCTAGAAGTGCAACTAACTTTACAGTCTTCTATTAACAAGCACTTCCTAAAGCGTGTCACGACTCTGGCCACGTGCCTCTCGTTGCCACGTTCCCACAGCTGTGCTGGTCGCCCTGTGGAGGCCGTAGAGGACACGCTTTAGCATCTCCCGGCCCTCAAGACACGCCTGGCCTTGAGTCTTCTCACGCTGCGTGCTGGTCCCCCTGCCTTTCCTGGCACCGCCATCCTGAGCTCCATCTGCCTGATGGGAGGGCGCCTCCCATCCTCCTGTCCTGGCCCCTGAGCGCTCATTTGGGCAGTCACCCACCCGTTGATCCAGGCACCCCCGTTTAGGATGAGGGCTGTGGGGGTGGGGGTGGGGGAGTCACTGCTCCCTCCAGGTGGGGAACACCCACCCACTTGCCAGCGTCAGGGCTACTGTGGTTCTTAAGATCACATCATCCGTTTTTTTGGAAACAGGGAAGCCTGTTGCTTTGTTGCCGTTTTATTTTTGCGGTACGCGGGCCTCTCACTGCTGCGGCCCCTCCCGTTGCGGAGCACAGGCTCCAGACGCGCAGGCTCAGCGGCCATGGCTCACGGGCCCAGCCGCTCTGCGGCATATGGGATCTTCCCGGACTGGGGCACAAACCCATCCCCTGCATCTGCAGGCAGACTCTCAACCACTGCGCCACCAGGGAAGCCCTTTTGCTTTATCTTAGTTCAACTTGGAACACGTACAGTCAGAGAAGGGATATGCTTCCCTAACATAAAAAAAAATACGTTTATTCTTGCAGCAAAGAACTGACTGGAACAGTGGGCCCAGGGGCTGGGCCATGGGTGGATGTCACAGTGGGGCTGGCTCAGGGACACGTGGACTCTGCCCTGGGCCAGTGCGGGCGGTGTGGCCTGAGGAGATGCATGGGATGCGGGGACCAAGCATGTGCCATGCGGCAATGGCGGAAAGCCACAGAAACGCGGAGAGGCAGCGGCTGCCTGCGCTGGCCGTGTGGGCACATCCTCCTGAAATCAAACTGGCCTTTTACTTTGATAAGGTTCTCTCGCCACCGCCAGCCTGAAGTGCAGTTTCTCCATTCTCCTGACATTCAGGTCACCTTTCTCCTGAATTTTTCAGTGACATCGCTGTTTGTACAGAAACAAATCTAAGGGGAGAGTTTTTAGCAAATGCACGGACTTCTGCACGTGGAGTCAATTCTGTCCTCATGAGCTTGTTGTTTCCAAAGCAAACAGCCCCTTTCTGTGAGCCCGCGGCTGTGGCGCTATGGTTCACAGCGCCCTCTCCTCTCTTCCTTCCTGCCGGCTTCCCAGGGCTCCACTGGCGGTCACAGGCCTTCCTCTGGAGTGGCCATCAAGCACACGCAGGTCCACAGGTGGGAAGACCATGTGGCTGAGCCCTGAGCCCTCAAGCAGCACACCTGCCTCAGCATCCACGGGGCAGCGCTGGCCAAGGCCCTGGAACATGTACAGAGCACTCGAGGCTCAGCTGTGAGCAGCAGAAGGTGGGGACAAGTGCCTCCTCCTTAGGGAGAGAGTCTAGGGAAGGAGAAGGTGACACTTTCCCCAGGGTGCGGGGGCAGGACTGGGCTTGGGAAGTGGGCTCAGAAGACAGGAAAGCGAAGTGTCTGGCCCAAGCCAAGTGCTGCTTTATAGTAAAGCACAGAAAGTGGTACGTTCCTATGAGCAGGTTTGCGAGAACAGCATGATCCCCACCAGCTCACGAGTTGCCAAGACAGACACTGTGCATCACCCTGACTGACCTTTGGGACGACAAAGTCAGCCTTCTCACGGCGCGGAGTAAGCGGCCCTTAGGGTGTAAGTTTTTCATCATAAGAAAAAGTCTTAGGATTTCCAGAAGTGGAGAGAGGAAGCCTGCAGACGTGAAGCCCACAAGGTCCACGAAATGCCGCTCTTGAAATCGTCCTGCTGGGTCTGAGGAGGGGTGGGCCAGGCTGGGGCTGGTGGACAGCTGCTGCGACCCCAGCGAACACAGTGTTTTCACAGGGTGTTCAGCTTATGGGTGGGGGTGGAATAAGGGACTGAAAGGACTTTTTTCAACTTTAAGGTAAATTAAAATCACACTCGGAAGATTCTGCAAAGAAATTGCAAACTATTGCATGCGGTAGCCTGAGTTCAGTAGAGCAAACCCAGTGAAACGGCTAGTAGTCACGCTGTTGTCCTGCAAGAGCAGCGTTTCCTGGGTTCTCCCTGGCGTCTGGGACAGCGTCCTTTGGAGCCACAGCCCTGAGCAGCGGGGGCCGCCCTTTCACAGACCCGGGCTGGGCATCACGCAAGCGTGGTGGAAACGGCCAGAAACGGCCGTGGGATGAATGGGCAAGCGGCCGGCCTCCTGTCTCCTCCCGCTGGGGTGTTGCTCTCCGGCTGGTCCCGGCCTCCCAGGGAATCCGTGTGCTTCCCCCCTTCACGAGCACCTCTCTCCCCCCGCCCACCCTCTGGCCCCAGCACTGGGGACTCAAGGTTCCCTTGCATAACAGGTACCAGCAGGCATTTCCCCCTCCTGGGACAGGATATCCTGGCGCCCTTCAGTCTCTCCCTGACTGTTTAAAACAGACCAGAGCACAGGAAAAAACCTAACTCTAAAATTAGCAGTGTGATAGAAGAAAGGCACAGAGCTGTGTTCTGTACTGTTTGTCAATGAAACAAGTCTAAACAGGGCCAAATGCATTTCCTTTTTGGGCACAGCAGACCCACTGGGGGTAATCGTCGGACACCACGGGAAGAGGGGGCCTGCGGAGGCAGAGGGACCATCTGAAGTGCCACAGGTGCTGCTCGGGGCTTCTGGCTTTTTCCGTGGGCCTCTGCCTGTCTGACGGTTTTTGGACAGAGCCTGGTCCAACTTTTCCAGAGGCTGTGCTGGCCTGGAAATACTCAGGAAAGCAGCATGTGCCCCCAGCCCCGACTTGGCCAGGACAGCCCCTGACCCCCAGATCTTCGGCAGTGCCCCCCAACCCCCACCGACTGATGCAAGACAGTTTGATTTTAGTTAATGGGGGTTCCCCTGTTTCCATTTTTTTGGTATGTAATTTGGAAACAATATTTTGTTCTGAAACAAGAGTTTACAGAAAGTAAGATGTCAGTTTTGACACCAAACCCACAATATTTTTTCTAATAATTCTAAATAAGTGTCTCGAAGTTTCTTAAGAAATGCAATGACAGATTTGATCATCCTGCTAGGAGTTACTTTCAGAATCAAGAGCTGTTACTTTTATTTCTTTAATGCCACTAAAATATCTGTTTCTAATCCAGCTTTTCCAATCACGTTGCAAAATCTTCCACTTCCTTCTTGAAGGGATGGAATTTCAGATGATCCCACGTGAGAGAGGTGGGTGGTTTCAGTGAGGCGAGGAAACTGCTTGATTTACAGCCCTAAGGTCAGCAGAGGGCAGGTGGGTGATTTTCCTACACGTGTGGCATTGAAATGTCCGTGTTTTTCCTCACAGTCCTAGAGGAGGGGGGAGGTGGAGGTCCGAGGTCCCGCTTCATGTACCTGGTTAACTCTTGGAATTGCCCTGGGCAGGGTGGGCATTACCCCATTTTGCAGTTGGGTGAACTGAGGTGTGGCTTTGCCCCGTTCACATGGCTGGTAAGCCGTAGGGCCGGACACAGTTCTGTTCTCCTGACATCAAAGCCTGCGCTCTTTCCTAGGCCTTGGCGACGCCCTCCGTCCTGCCCGGCCACGGGGAAGTGACTGGCCTTCTGTGAACAGGGCCTGTTTCCGAGTCCCACCCAGCACTTTCCAGCACGAGTGCTGCCAGCCTGTCAGCCGCATTCTGGAAATTGTGTTTCTCCAGGACGATGAGGGCCGGGATCCATTATTCCCCAAGTGATTCACTCGTATTTCCTGCCGTTCCTCCCGCCACATGTGTTGAAACTGCACCCTCATGGTTGGGACACTGCCTTCTCCACCGAGCCGGAGAGGCAGGCGGTGGGCTGGTGACGTCCTGGCCCTTCCTCTGTCCCATCAGCCACCCATCTCACCTTTCCCATAGGCAGCAGGAAACCTGAGCTCCCAGGTTCCCATGATCATTAAACCTGGGTCAGTGAGGCAGGCAGAGGGAGAGGGGAAACCAGCACAGACGCCCCTCCGCTCTCTGGGGTGCCGGGTGGACGCTTTGGGGCTTGTGTGGCCATTGTGCAGAGCCTCCTGGAACAGTTCCATTCATCATCCACGGCGCTGCTGCACTCGCCCTGTGAAGACTACAGTGTGCCCAGGCCCTGCCGCGTTTCACCCTGCAGTCGCCCCCAGAGGCTGAGGTGGCTTCTGGATTGTTCGCTGATGGCCAAAGCCTCGCTGCTCTCCCCCACACTGCCCCCATCACGCTTTTCTCGCCCTGGTGTTGCATGTGTGTCCCTGTGTGCTTGGCGGGGTCCTCCATGCTTTGTCTGTGCTCCTTACAGGAGGGCCCTGCTCACCCCAGCCAGGCCCCAGGAAGCTGCATTTATAACCGAGCATGCAGGTCGCCGGCTGGGAACCATGTGTGCCCAGAACTCCCCGTCTGCTAACCGTTAGCCAGGAAGGCCATGGAGGCAGGTGAGGGGTCAGAAGGGTGTCCCCCTCTGCCCACGTGCCCAAGTGCCTGCAGCAGGCTGCTGCACCCTCATGGGAGGAGCGTGAACCCAGGCTGCCTGCCACACAGGCTACAGAGGGACAAAGAAAACACCAGATGCCGAAGACTTTGGAAAGCAAAGCAGGTCACCGTGAGCCTCAGAACCTTGTCTTAGATGGGAAGGGCCAGGAGGCCTTGAGCAAACAGACACAAACCCATCTGGTTGCACTTCAGCGCTCCGCCCCTGTGTGTATTTCTGTTTTGCTGCCGCCCACAGTGACAGGTGGGGTGGGAGCGTGACCCACAGGGGTCGCCATGACTTTAGAAGCCACAGCCAACCTGCCAGCCCTGACAAGAGCTGGGGATGCGGCTGCTCAGCCTGGCCGGGGCCCGGGTGAGGATACTTACTTGCCAGCTGGAACGCAGCGGCCATGGCCTCCTCCCAGCACTGGGAATCGGGTGACATCAGGGGCAGGCCCGTCAGCCCCAAGACGAAGGTGAGCTGGCCCGCGGCAAGTGCCGCCGTGGCCACCAGGTTGCAGGCTCGCATCATGTCGAACTGCACTGTGAGGGGCCGGAGGGAGAGAAGCAGGCGGTCAGCATGGGCGAGACCGCTCGAGACTGGGCTGCCTGCCCCTCCCGGGACTCCTCCCTCCATCTCAGCGAGTCTCACCACTCCCTTCCCAGCCCCCACCTGCCCCTGGTCCCTGAGCAAGGCATTTGGAGGCTGTGCACACAGGGCAGAAGGAGGATGGGGCAGCCCGATGCTTGGACTGCAAAGGTGGGGGCCATGGAGGTGTCATCAAGAGGCTATCAGGGGAGTCAACTTTCCCACCCATGTGCTGGAGGGCAAAGCCGTCCACCGTGAAGTCAGGCCCCTTCCCCATGGTCCTTCCATGCTGTAAAAGTGGCCCCTGCCCCCCAGGCTTCAGGTGCAGCGCTGTCTGATTCATGCTCTGCGGGCAGGTGGCATTCACATTTAGCGCTTATGGAGTCCAGAGTCTCGTGGGGGTGTTGTACCGCTTCCTGCCACGGAGGGTCAGCTCCTCCTGCTCAGGGGTCTCGACCTGCTTCCCGCTGGCCTCCCTCCTGCTGTCCGGAGCTTGAGGGGTCTCACCCTTCCCAGATCCCAGGCCTGGCTCTGGACTGTGGTGCAGGGGCCTCGGGCTGCTGCGAAGTCAGAGCAGCCCTGAGGGTGGAGGGGCAGAGGGCTTCTGGAAGGAGAGCCTGGCACCGAGGGCCAAGGAGCATTCCCAGGCAGACAGATGGATGGACGGCACCTCTGCCAGGGCTTGATGCTGCCCGTGACATTCTCGCCCGCTCCTTGTGTGGCCGCACACGCTCCATGGGCCTCACTGCCGGGTGACCGAGCGCTCATGTTCTGGGTTCTGTAGTCCTCAAAGTTACTACAAAACACAGCTGCAGTCGCTGGGAACCCTGACCCTTTAAAACTCAGGGAGACGAGGCGCCGGGGGTGGGCGGTGCAGCCTGGTGAGCGCAGGGCTTCTGGCAGTGGTGTGGCAGCAGCTCCGGAGCAACTCAAAGAAAGGACAGAGGCTGGGCCGGAGAACAAAGCGGGCTCCCCGTGCACAGGCTCAGACCCCTCCTCTCCCCCAAGGCTGGGGCGGCAGGGCTGCTAGCGCTCGAGATTTGCAGAAACCTTCCTGGCTGCTCACGAGGCCTCGGGTCCCCATGACCACACGTGGGAGCAGGAGGACACGCGGCTCCTCTGTCAGCACGGGGGCTCCGGTTGCTCGGGCCACAGACTCTGGAATACCAGCTGGCTTCCCGTGGAGGCTGCTGTTCATCACACTCTTCCTGCTTTTTTCACGCTGTTTTCTTTGCAACAATTTTTACCCTTCAAACGCCCGTACAGAAGGTCCTGCTACTCTAAGAGGTCATAGAGTTTGGAAGTGGAGGTGGCCTCAGAGATGAGGGCTGTTAAAACGTGGTGGGTGTTCACAACACAGGGCAGAACCTGGATCCATTCTGGGCCCAGGAATGTCCTTCCGGTTCCGGGGCCCAGCCTTGCAGGCGAGGAAAGACGTGCACCAACGGGCTGGCCATGCCGGGAGTGTCTGCGCTGCAGTGTGTTGGTGCTGGCACCACGAGGCCCTGCCCTCCCGGTGGCCCCAGCGGCTCTGAGCGCTCAGCCCCATGCCACACACCCTGGCAGCAATCCACCCTCCAAGCATTCGAGCTGGGCTGCTGCCTAGTACCCAGGTGCCCGAGGCTGTAAAGGCTGAGGTGGCGGACTCTCCCCTTGGCCATGACCCCTTTCCCAGCCACCCAGAGGGGACCAGTCCTCACTAGCACCCACCAAGCCTGGACGTTTGATGGGTCCTCACACTTGCTGTGTGCGCGGCCTGGGCAGCAGCACTGGGTTTTGAGGAGCCATGAGAACGTGGCCGTGAGTGTCTGCTGGCTGGACAGTCGCTGTGCCCCTTCCCACCCCAGTGCCCTGTGAGGCTGCCTCCCAGGAGACAGAGAGCAGCGGTCACCTCAGGAGATTTAATTACGTGTTTATTCACGTCCCCCCTGGCTTCAGAGCAAGGACACAGGTGCCCGACAGAATGCACAAAACTCAAGAGAGATGAAAAGTGGCAGAGAGAATGGGGGCCAGAAAGCAAGACTGACCCTCATCCTGGGCTGTGAGGTACCCCCAGGCCCCCACCTGATGAGTAACAAAAGTCACAGCCGCCGCACACGCCCAGTGAGCCTGTGTGGGGGAAGGGCCTTGTCCTCGAGGACAGGACCTGGCGTGACATGGGGGCAGCTGGAGGGCCTGCCCCAGGGTCGTCCCCTGACCCGGCATGCTTGGGACACCCTCACTAGAGCTTGTTACGTTGGGGGACTGTGGTGTTGGCCCGATGCGCCAAGTGGCTCTGGCTCAGCTCTGCGGCCTCTGCCAGGACTTGGGCACAGAGCCGGCAGGAGCGTGGCTGCTGTCCCCGAGAGCTGCCCTGGCCACCTGCATCATGTCTGGAATCTCTAGGGTGAAGCAACACGAGTCTCGCCCCCTCGGTACCCCGACACGGGGCTCGGGATGGACAGACAGAGGTGATTCCATGGTTGAGGCCGCGCGCTCCTTCTCCCTGTCCCTAGCCCAGCTGGAGGCTGGACCATTGGGGGCAAAGCCTGGGCTGGGGTTTTGCATGAGAGCTGATGAGACCGGGAGCTGGTTTGATTGAAGGGGGCAGCCCAGAAACCAGGCCAGAAGCCCCCAGCTCCGGAACCCCCGGGGCAGCAGTGCTCGGTCCCCGGGAGCTGGTGAGACATCTGCCAGCTCCTCTCCCTGGTCTCAGCCTTGTTCACGAGAAGCTCCAAAGACATTTCCCTTGTTCTGGGAAAACCTCTGATGCTCAGGGCATCATTAAAGGTCAGCTGCCTCAAATGCCGTGTTATAGCAGGAGGATGTTTTAAAAGTTGTTCAGGGGACTTATCAGGTGGTCAGGGAGGGACAGCAAACGAGGGCAGGTGAGCGGGGCGCTCGGGACATGAAGCGGTGGCTGTGCGGTCTGGAGGCAGAGAGCATCCCGGCCTGTGTCTTCCTGGCCTGACCTGACCCAACCTGGCTCAACAAGGGGGCAGGGGAATGGATGCCCAGAGGGGGCACCTGTGTGGCATTGGAGGCCTTGAGCCCAGGGCAGGGGCTGGGCTGATGTGGGGCCTCCCCCCGGGGTGGGGGGTTGCTCTGTGTGTGGGGGGGGGG